GAGCAGGGGCGACGTCCGCGGCGAGCTACAGTATACTTCGCGCAAGCCCGCCATTTCGATGGGATCTCCCACCTTCGTGCCCGTTCCGTGCGCTTCGACATAGGATACTTCCTCCGGCGAAAGTTTCGCAATACTCAGTGCTTTTCGATGAAGGAGTACCTGAGCCCTCGTGTCTGGGACGGCAATGTGACCCACGTTCCCGCTTTGGCTGACCGCGGAACCGACAATCACGCCAAGCACTCGGTCGTTTTCCTCGATGGCTGTCGCGAGCGACTTGAGCACCACGACGCCAACCCCTTCCGCCCGGCAGTACCCGTCTGCGTCACTGTCGAATGGCTTGCACTGACCGGTGGGACTCAAGAAGCCGGCGGCGGCCAGATTCCGGTAATCGTGTGGGCTGGTGATCACGTTGGTGCCACCTGCGATGGCGCGGCTGCATTCTCCCGCGATGATCGCCTTGCAAGCCGCGTGGACCGCTACCATCGACGAGGAGCAGGCAGTGTCCAGGGTGATTGCAGGGCCAGTCCAGCCAAAGAAGTGGCTCACTGCGCCACTGATGTAGCACCTTGAGGTCCCTTTCGTGGCGTACGCGGATGCCTTGTGGCACGCGACATTGTCGTAATAGTTGTTCATGACTGCCCCAATGTAGCAACCAAAATCTCGGTTCCGCGACGGCAGCGAAGCTCCAAATTGTCCACCATCTTCCAAAGCCTCATAAGCGACTTCGAGCATAATGCGCTGTTGGGGATCCCAAGTCTGTGCTTCTCTGGCTGTAATTCGAAAGAATTCGTGGTCGAAAGCGTCTACATCGTCGAGGAAGTTTCCCCACCACATTCTGCTCAGATCGTCAGGAGGAAGGTGTCGTAAGCCGATTCGTTCCGTCGGCGCTGGCTCTACCGTGCTCTTTCCTGCTTCCAGCAGATCCCAAAGGGCGTCAACGGATTTTGCGCCGGGAAACCTGCCGGCCATGCCAACGACCGCAACAGCATGAGAAGGATACTCAGATCGGATGTCGCCATTCTTCGGATGCGCGCCTATCGGTCCCTTGGACGCAGGGACAAGAGACGGACCATTGTCTTTTGTGGTTGGATCGACCACATATGGTCCTCCGGACGTTTTTTGTGGTTGGATCGACCACATATGGTATTCCGGACTGAGTACCCACGGTAGATGCGGTGAGCAAAGCTGCACTATCGGTAGCTCGTGACATATTCGCTGTCGCAGTGGGCGAACGGGTGGCTGTCGCAATGGGCGAACGGGGAGTGCAGACCTACGAGGCAGCAGAATGAAGCTTGTGAATAGTGAATGCCGGTTTCCAACGGCAAAAAGACATGGGAATGCGGCCACGGTGCGCCCGGTACGTGTAGAAATGTACTGCATCTCTTCCAGCCCTCGAGCAAGCGCAGGCGTCGGCGTGTTGGCCTTGACAGTGACATCGGCGCCAAAAGCTACAGTACGTTCCTAATTTAACGTTACTCGTTTCCCTGCTCGTACATGCGAGACCGTGAGTCCATGCTGACATAGTTGCCCAACAGCCACTCAGAACACGTTGGCGAAGCCTCGGGACACGCAGCCCGGGCTCGAGAAGACCCTACCCTTGTGCAAAAGGCATTCCGGATCGTACTTTTGTTTCACCGACGCCAGGCGAGCTGTGTTATGACCCCAGACCTCCTCGCCTTTGGCGTGTGGTTTTGATGTAATTTGGGTAGTCGTAAGGCGCGCCGAGGCCACGCACGCTTGAGCTTGAGCCGGGGTTGCGATTATGTGACCCAACTGTGGTCGCTTCTCGGCGGGCCAGACTGTACAAGACCTCGTTGAAAGCTTCTACTACACTATCCGATGAGGCTCTGCGCCAGCCAGTGCCCAGCAACGCTGTGCGGCCACGCCGTGTCAGCATCCGACGCAGGTAGATGTCCATTCAGCCCGGGGAGCATGTACTGCAGTACCCAGGTCGAGGTCGAGGGCGTTTCTCCTCTTGTCAGCATGGCATCAATGTAATCTCGAAAGGAGTCGTCGACGGCGCTCAGATATGTCTCGGTGACGTTTATCACCTCCCGAAAGGAGTCGTCGACGGCGCTCAGGTATGTCTCGGTGACGTTTATCACCTGTGGACCCCAAAAGCCGCGGCGGTAGCCGGCCGGAAAGAAGCTGTCGCTGAGTGTAGTGAGGTCCGCAAATGGGACGGTGTACGATAAGCTTGAATCCAACGACAGGCCGGAAAAGAGCGTGCGAAAGGTATTTTCTGGCTGCTCGTGAGCTCCGTGCGGCTGTTCGGGCTCTTCAAACCTGTTACTGTCAATTCTGTGGAAACAACTTTGTCTGACTCGATCCGCTCACCGCAACGTCACCATCAGTCGAGTGACTCGGAATCCCATCTCTTCTTCCCTTGCGTGCGGCCAGCCTATCGGGAGATATGCCAGGGCGTAATACATCAGGCTGAAAGGATCGGTGTGCCGCGCGAAGAACACCTCTGTGTTGCGGAAGCTCTGTGTCACAGAGCCATTGCCGACGACGTGAAAGCCAACCTTGACGTTTTTCGGGGTGCGGAAAGCCTTTTGATAGAACTTGGTGACTATACCGAACTGCCCGGATCCACCTTGGATCGCCCAGAAGAGATCGGAATGTTTGTTTTTTTTCGTCGCAATCACGATCTCACCGGATGGGAGCACCACCTCCAGCGCCAACAGTCGATCGATGGCGTAGCCGTATGCGTTTGCC